GGTGTGGCAGCTATTGTCTGAGATCGCATGATGTAGTATTGTTAGATGTGCCAAGAGCAAGGACTGTCTTAGGTAAGACAGCTTTTATGTGCGCAGCTCCACTTGCTTGGAACAATCTTCAGCAATAATTGAAACTGAGCAATCTCATTCCTCTGCATGTTTTTAAAGCTAGGCTAAATGAAATGCTCGTTGATACTGTGGGCACTTGTAAATGTCTATAACTATGTAAATGTATCCTGTAAATATAATGTATGATGTCCTTTATTGTTTTATGTTTCATGTGGAACCTATATGCTGCAGGTCTCCCTTGAAAAAGAGATTATGATCTCAATGGAACCAATCTCGTTAAATAAAGGTTTGAAATGAAATGAAAGGACTCAGCTTTGCTCTGTGACCTTTTAACTAGGGCTGTCAGTCGATTAAAATATTTAATCGCGATTAATCGCACATTTTTTATCTGTTCTAAATGTACTTAAGAGGAATATTTTTCAAGTTTTTAATACTCTTATCAACATATGAGTGGACAAATATGCTTTATGCAAATGTTTGTTTATTATCATTTGATCAATGACAAATATTCTCATGAATATTAAACACAACAACCTCTGAACATTACAAATATTCGCCTCAATTCAACCTGGAACCTCTCTCATTCAATAATACAAAGTGTGTGTGAGACATTGATGGATCGTTGGAGCTATGTGCAACTCAAGGCATATGCTCGAACGGAAGCTGCCTGGACGCTGCAATCATGTTGCGCGCACTATCCGTGCTGAGTGTGCTGACTTCTCGTGCAATGTCCCACTGTCTGGCTTCCTGCATAAAGTCAAGTGCTCGGCGAAATGTCGCTCCTCTGTTTTCATTGAAACAGCTCCTTATATCCGTTAGCGCAGCTAGCTAGCACCAGATGCTAACAACAACAATACACGTAAGGTGTGCACGTTCTCTCTCGCTCGCTCGCGACACACATACACACACCCTCCCGGTCCTCCAGATGGCCAGTCGGTGCCTGCCGGTGAGCGTGGAAGTGTGGTCTGCCACAAGCGGGCAGCAGGAGCGGGGCTGTCAGCATCAGCTTGTAGATGGTATTTCAAACTCGATGCGCTCTGAAACTACGGGGCGGCCGAGGACAAAAAATACACATGCGTTAATCGCGTTAGGTAAGGCAAGTTTATTTATATAGCACTTTTCACGTGGCGATTCAAAGTGCTTTACAGATTAAAAGCAAAATACATTTAAGAACAAATACAGCATAAATACATTATTAAAAACAGGCATAATAAGCAAAGGTAATGAAATAAATTAAATAATAAACACAGCAGGTACAGAATACATGACTAAAAAGGCATACTGTAGTGTGAGTATGGGCAGCTCAATTAAAAGCAGCAAATAGGTGCGTTTTTAGTCTGGATTTGAAAATAGGAAGTGTTTCGGCGGACGTGCATGTTTTAGGACGTTTGTTCCAGATTGTTGGGGCATAATAACTAAAAGCTGCTTTTCCATGTTTAGTGGTTATTCTCGGAACAGAGAGCAGACCCGACCCAGAAGACCTGAGACTCCTGGATGCTTCATAGTGATGGAGGAGGTCGTCTATATACCTCGGTCCTAAGCCATTTAGTGATTTAAAAACTAGCTGTAGTATTTTAAAATCAATTATTTGGCCGACTGGAAGCCAGTGTAATGATCTCAGAACCGGAGTGATGTGATCCACTTTTCTAGTGTCAGTGAGAACTCGTGCAGCAGCGTTCTGAATCAGCTGCAGCTTACTGATATATTTTTTAGTGAGCCCTGTGAAGACACTATTGCAGTAGTCGAGTCTACTGAAAATAAAAGCATGGACAAGTTTTTCTAAATCCTGTTGCGACATTAGTTTTTTAATCCTTGATATATTCTTCAGGTGATATATGCAGACCTAATAACTGTTGTAATGTGACTGTTAAAATTCAGGTCTGAGTCCATCACTACACCCAGATTTCTTGCTTTGTAGTCTGCCGACTGAAGCTCTGTGATTACTTTTAATCGGTCCTTCTTTGCTCCAAAAACAATGATCTCAGTTTTTTGTTTGTTCAGTTGGAGAAAGTTCTGAGTCATCCAGTCAGTGATGTGCTCAGTGTTCTAATCGGAGAGTAGTCTCACGGTGTAATTTTAAAATAAATCTGGGTGTCGTCTGCATAGATGTGATAGCTTAGATCGCTCTTTTTAATAATTTCAGCCCGAGGTAGCATATACATATTAAAAAGCAAAGGTCCTAAGATGGAGCCTTGAGGAACCCCGCATGACATATTTATCAGGGTTGATTTGTAATTGCCTATTGAGACAAAGTTTGTTCTGTCCTTTAAGTAGGAGCTAAACCAGTTTAGAGCTGTTGCTGAAACTCCAACCCAGTTTTCAAGACTGTCTAGCAATATGTTGTGGTCAACAGTATCAAAGGCAGCGCTGAGATCTAATAATACTAACACTGATATTCTGCCACTGTCTGTGTTCAAATGGATGTCATTTAAGACCTTAACAAGAGAAGTCTCAGTGCTGTGGTTAGGTCGAAAGCCCGACTGAAACACATCAAAACCGTCAGTTAAAAACATGAAATTACTCAACTGTTGAAAAACTGCTTTTTCAATCAATTTGCTTAAAAAGGGAAGGTTTGATATTGGCCTGTAATTATTCATTATGGTTCACTAGGTTATGCTTTTTTAGGAGCGGTTTAATTATTGCAGTTTTCAGGGCCTGTGGAAATACACCTGATTGAAGAGACTTGTTTACTATGTGTAGTATATCTGAGGCCAAGCAATGAAAACAGTTTTGAAAAATCCTGTCTGTTAAATAATTAGTGGCGTTAATTTTTTTTGCGTTAACGCGTTAACTTGATAGCCCTACTTTTAACATTAAAAGGTCAACGAAGAGTTCTGCATAGCCGGATTTCATCTTAAAGAACAGACGTCTGACGGAGCAGCCTGTGGAGCAGCAGCAGAGCTCCTCTCTGTCAGATCTCTTTAGCAGCAAACTAACCCTCACGGCAGCATGTTTCTTAGCCTCTCACACTCATACATTTTTCACTCTGCCTACGATGTTGTCCTAACCTCTCTAGGGGTTTGGAGACCACCATTCCCCAACAGCACTAAACCTACTGTGAATGGTTAGGCCTTCTAATCAAAATGATGTTGTTCCGTTTACCTATCGCATTGAAACATAATCAGTTGTAGAGCTTTAAAGGACAGTAAGATCCTGCAGTGGTTTAGCACATGAGTCCCATGAGAGCAGTGTGTTCTCCCCTGCTGACCTCCTGTGGGAAAGCTCCTCCTCCTCCTCCTCCTCCTCCTCCTCCTCCTCCTCCTCCTCCTCCTCCTCCTCCTCCTCCTCCTCCTCCTCCTCCTCCTCCTCCTCCTCCTCCTCCTCCTCCTCCTCCTCCTCCTCCTCCTCCTCCTCCTCCTCCTCCTCCTCCTCCTCCTCCTCCTCCTCCTCCTCCTCCTCCTCCTCCTCCTCCTCCTCCTCCTCCTCCTCCTCCTCCTCCTCCTCCTCCTCCTCCTCCTCCTCCTCCTCCTCCTCCTCACCATGTATGCCAAGGGGTGAGCAGTAGTCGGTGGTGGAATGTAACTAAGTACATTTACTCAAGTACTGTACTTATAGTTTCCTTGAGTATTTTCATGTTATCCTACTTTATAAAATGTAGATCAAATAATACATTATTATATACTATTATAGGTTAAGCTACCCAGTATTACATAAAGTAAAAAAAATTAAAAAACATATTTTAAAATATGTATTTTGTTTAAGTGTGCCAATATGCATAATGAGTTATTTTACTTTTGGAACTTTATGTATATTCTGATGCTAATACATGTTTACTTCTACTTGAGAACAATTGTGAATGCTGTACTTTAAGTTGTTACAGAGTATTTTTGTGTGTGTGTGCTGTTCTCCACAGATGAGATAAGGTGTGTGTAAGCCGGGGTGTCACAATAGAGCCCGTACTAGTTCTGCAATGGATGCATATTCAGCCCTGCCCCCCGCTGTGACTTTATGAAAGGGATCCTGGTTACTCAGCATTTCCGTTTGAATTAATATTATATATATTGGCGTGACAAAAAAAAGCAGTCCTCTCTGTATTTTGTCTCTTTATTCTACAAACTTTTGCAAACAAAGTCTATCCTTTTGCTATGTGTTGTGAAATGTGTCTAAAGGGGTGGAACTGTTAGAAGTGCATCTCTGATCACAGAGTAGCAGCACTTGTGAAATACAGTAGATTTTCTTTATGATTCATTTTTCTTCCCAAACATCCAGTCCCTGTGCTCGATGGAAGAGTTCAGGAATCTGGACCGAGACATCGAGGGCTCGGCCAAGCGCTGGAAGAAGTTTGTGAAGTCTGAATGTCCAGAAAAAGATAAACTACCTCAGGAGTGGAAGAACAAAACCTGTGCAGAGACTGTGCATAATGAGGGCCCTGAGGCCGGAGATCATGGCGTACGCCAGTGACCACCAACTGGCGGCCCGGGGGCCACATCCGGCCCGCCAGACATTCTCATCCGGCCCGCACGACGGGGGTGACTGCGGCGTGGTTACTACGTCCGCAGTAACCACTGTGTGCAGTACCGGAGTCCAACAGAGAGGCAGCAGCTGCGGGACAGTAGACTGCGTACTGCAAAACCTTCCCTGCCTTGAAGAAGAAGTGATCCTTCGTTGTGAAGAGTCTGGTTTGTGCGCTCCGCACCACAGCAGTAGCCCTGCTGCGACAGAGTCCAACAGAGAGGCAGAAGCTGCGGGACAGTAGCCTAGAAGCAGGGTTGTAACGGAATACATGTAACGGCGTTACGTAATCAGAATACACAAATCAAGTAGGCTAACTGTATTCAGCTGGCGTTACATTTGAAAAACGAGTAATCTGGTTACTTTCGTAAACCTGAAGTGAATACATTTTGGAATACTTATTGGAGGAAAAATGTCCTCACCAAATGTAATATTCATTACCGGCAGAACTGTGTGCACACTGCACGGCGCTGCAGCATGTCTGTGAGCGAGAGAGAGATGCAGCGCGTCTGTGAGGCCCCGCCCCCGCACGCAGGTGAGAGAGAGATCTCTTTTAAAATATATTGAAAGTTAGAAACGGAGATGGTTAAATAAAATGTGCAAGATAACGTTTATGTAGCATTTCTTTATTGTCGAAATGATGACATTTCATAACGGGGTCAAATCAAAGTGAATGGCCTGCTGCTGCTGAATGCATGGGGCAAGTGACTGGAACAAGTTTTAAAAGTTATTACATCGTTTCAGATAATACATAATAATGATAATTAATTCTATTTAGGGGCGCCTTTCAAAGCACCCAAGGACACCTTACAATTCATAACATATTCTAAGGAAAGGTTTTAAGACAGTACAAAGAATGCAGTCCGGGTGATGTGTTTTATGTGTGGTGCAGATGAGGGACCTGTCCAGAATGACACCAAGATGTTGTGTTTGATTTCTTGATAAGCCATTAAAACAGTAAAATACGTGTCTCCTGTTCACCAAAACATACCCATCTGTTATGGAAAAAGAAAGTATTCTAAAAGTAATCTGAATACGTTAAAGTAGACCCGATTCCAACGTTTAAGACACGTAACTGTAACTGTATTCTGATAACTTTCAGAGCCATGTATTCAGTAGTTAGTAACTGATTACAGAACACTCAATACCCCTAACACTCTAATAATCCTTGCGTTTCATCACCACAGCATTTTAGACAGTATCTGCCAAGTCCCCGCATGAGCCGGGCATAAGCTCCGCCCCCTCTTATTTAAACAGGTGAAAATCTCATTCTCAAGAGAGACCTGTTTATACCAAGAATCAGCACTTTTGGAACAGCAAGAGAAATAGAGGGATATGAGGCTTGGCTAGAATGGGTGATCTTCATAGACATGTTTGTTATATATGTTTATATATCTGAGACATATGCTATTGCCTAAAAATAGCATGATAGGTGACCTTTAACATTTGTCTAAGGACTTTCAGCCTATCAGACTTTGATCTCCGGCTGCTCCTTCATAACTAAACTGTATTCTCAATATCTTTCAAGGGTAAACATTGTTCCGCCTGTACTCTTTTAAACATGTAGTTAATTAAATAATAAAGAAATAACACTACACATTTACTTAGTTATGTTAAGTGAAAAATTGTTTGGAATGTAAATAAGCCTTGTGTTGACTTTTGGTCATCAGGACATACAGCAGTGGACTCCTGGGTCTACGTCTGTATTGTTATGTATTTGTATCAGCAATTTTTAAAACATCCAAATACAATACTCTTCACTCACTCAGTTTTTAGGAACTTGCTTGGTATTAACATGCAATACATACCTGAATACTTTGTCTGGATAATCAATTCCTTTTCCCTTTTAGGGGATTTGAATTTCCTCATCAACAGAATTTACATAACATTTTATCGTCAAAATATTTCATCAGGTGTTTACATAAAATGTAGATTTCTTTATTTAACTTTCTTTTTTTTAACCACAGTAAGTAATCCTGCAGTTTGAAAGAGCCAGCAACAACATGTCGTGTTTTTCTATAAGATCTGCCTGTCTAATGCTCTGAACTATAGATGATTCCCACTTCAAGGTTTTCAGCTTGAGTCATGTTCTCCCTGCAGAGACTTTGTGGAGGAGAAACTGGGCAGCACGTACGTGATTGGCAGATCACTGGACTTTGCGCTCTCCTTTGAAGAGTCGGGTCCAGCTACGCCCATGTTCTTCATCCTCTCACCTGGAGTCGATCCTTTGAAGGACGTGGAGAAACATGGTAACACATATTGAACATATCTGTCAATCTTTCTCCTGTGGGAACATGCTACATTTTATTTGGAAAAGCCTATTGAATTCAAGTGCAGGCATTCCTACAAGTTGAGTTACACTTTGATTCCCAACATCACGATACTATGTACAGCAGGCTGTGGGTAGATAGAGACATTGTACTAAAGGTCACACATATATGAGAGGACACTGGTGTATTAGGGGCTGCAGAGAGTAAATGTCACCTGTTTTAGAGTTCCTTTATAACCCTGTCTGAATCCTGTGGATGGCAGCAGGACACGCCATTATTATTATTACTGACCACAAATATGCTTTTCAAAGCCTTTGTGCTGACCTGGCACGGGGCGCAATCACGCATCGCTTTTGAATCTGCTGTCAAACTATTCATTGTGTGGATATTTTAGGTCAGCTCTATGAAAAGTTCAGATTGCAAGGATTGTATCAGTTTACTAGAACATAGAGATTTCCCTGTGGTTTCTACTAAGTGAGTCACCATACAAATTATAAATCATGTACCCATCGTTTTGCCTGATGTTACTTTCTTGGATTTCTATTTCTGCTTTAATTTCCTCCTTAATTGAAATGACATGTTGGTGATTTCAACATGACAGTAAGCTTTTCATTTACTGAAAATACTTCGTAGCCTGCTCAAAGACACTACAAAGAAGTAGAGCCGGTTGGCAGCAGGTGGTGGACAGACCTCGGCCCCCCCTGAGTGATAAAATGGAACCCTGCCTGTAATGGCTGTGATTATGGATTATCTACACCCTTGAGCGTGGTCAATCACATCAAAGCTAAAAGTAAGCAATCAGTGCAGCTCAGAGCACGGTGGCCACATTACGCTGAACCACATTCTGCAGATGTGCTTTTCCATTATAGCTGTGACTATTAGCTTTCTTATTGGTATTAGGCCTCAATTAGATTTTCAATAGATAGATGATGTGATTATGTATGCTCTGCAGGGGACTTCTCTCCCTGAGACCAAACCTCGCTATATTCCTGGTTTTAGATTCAAGCTTTAATACAACTGAAACAGTTTTATTGTTTGAGTTACATTTCAGTGTAAGTGTCACGATCACAGGTACAGATCAGAACTCAATAGCACGACTCAGATACAACCAGTTTTTAGCAATGTTCAGTTTATTCAGGTCTGGGACAGGCAGGTTCAGAACCAGGAAATCCGTCAGACAGGCAACCAAAACCAGACAGGGAGCAGGCAGGAACTCGAGATCCGAATATAGGCAGGCAGGGGTCAAAACCGGGCAGGACAAGAATCTAGGATAGAGAGTAACAAATACTGGAGAGTAGGGGTGTAACGGTTCACAGAAGTCACGGTTCGGTTCATACCTCGGTTTGGAGGTCACGGTTCGGTACAACAAGAAAAAGCAAAAAAAGTCCCAAATGCATAATTCCAGGTTTGTTGTTATTTATTTTTAACAGTAGTGCAAGTTTTAGTTTAAAAATAAGGAACTCTGACATTTTGAATAATTAACTGTATTAAACAGTTAAAAACAAACCATACACAGTACCACATACACTCAGATAGCCATATTATCTATAATGGCTGATGTCAAACAAAAAGGTTTCATCAAGCTGTAAAACTAAAAAGAATGTCTTGAAAATATTACATCATAAATAATAAGAAAAACATATGCCAAAAGCTTCCGTTATTTATTTTGGTCTCACGGCTCTCATGTCTATTGGCTTCTTAAAACAGCGGGGATCAGCTGCTGAACTGCTGTTGTCTTTTGCCGGGCTTCGGTGATTGGCAAATCTGGGTGATGCCTTCTGATATGATTTAGCATGTTTGGCGTGTGTTGCCATTAGCATACCGCACCGCTGTCTAACAACGCCGACACACCGTCCTCGTCCGATCCACCACTCGTACACTCCATCGTTATTGTAGTCCACAGGGAACCAGAAATGTTCCCACACAGCTGATTTAAAAGAAGCAGGTGGGTTCTAGCTCCTGTGTTATCTGAAATCGCCAAACTAACTTTTCTTCTTCTTGTATTTTGTTCGTTTTGTTGTTGTGTTTCTTCTTGTTCTTCATTTGTTGTTTAAGGGCGGCTGGCAAACAGCTTTTAGGCGCAATACCGCCCCCTGGATTATATATAGTGTAGTGGATACTGCCCTGAATGACAGACTTTTTTCCCACTCGTAAAAAAAAGGCGTATTCGTCGTGTGACTGCATGTGCCGAACCGTGACGTCCGAACCGTGACGTCCGAACCGTGACGAATACGGATACCGTTACACCCCTAGTGGAGAGCTTGGCAGAAAAGACAAGACAATCTGGCAAAGGACAAGAGATAGTGAGGTGGTATAAGTACTGTGGAGTAATGAGGGGATGAGTAACAGGTGAGGGGAAGGACTGGGTAGACCAGGTGAGGGAAGTGATCTGATTTCAAGAGCCTGGAGAAAGGCGGGATCTGAAATGAAAGGAGAGTTAACATGAGCCAAACCAAACAAACAACAATAAATGTGTCTAACTTGTGACAGTAAGGTCGGCAAGTGAGTCATGGACCGTCTGCTGATTATGATAATAAACACTGGCTTTTGAGGAAACTTTTATCAAGATTATTATCTTTTCCTTTTCTGTGTTCCGTAGTCGTAGTGTGTAGCTCAATCTTTCACTTCAGTGTGTTACTGGTTTGTTAAGTTCTGTACAAAGCTAGGCTTATATAAGCATTGTTTGCTGCACCGTAGTTTCATGCTCTTTCACTATCTTTAAATAATATATAATATATCAAGCAGAAAAACTGAAACTAATGACACAGTACGCTCAGAAGGGCTTGGGGTTTCTGTGTTAAATATGGTTCTGTAAATGTGCTGACCACTTTTAGCCGTCTGCTGGCGTGTTAACACTTTGCATGTGTATTTAACTAACAGAAAACAGGACAACGTCCTTTGGAATATTCACAGCAATGCTGTATATAAAGAGTCCTGTTGCTCTAATTAGCGCTGGCTTTCTGCACTATCCAACTCTGATCTAAACCCAGGTGACTCCTCCGTGTGTATTGATGCCGGTTTTCCTAGCTGACAATATACAAATAATACTTTTTTTTCCTAATCCATCAAGGTGAGCTCTTTGTCTCAGCTTGTAGTATTTGTGCTCAGCTAGGTTGAGCATGTCTCAAAGCAACCTCTGTGTTTATATATAAGATGCATTTTTCTAAATATCAGACTATCATAGTGTAAAGCCTGTGAGTTCAACGATGTTTAAGAAGGAGGGCTGTCAAAATGAACATGTTAACGCAAGCAATTCATGTGGCAAGAGAAGGCAAAGAAAGCGGACGAATCAGCACAAGCTGCATGTCGCGCACTGACTGGACCAGAAGAACCACTTGTTCTTAGGTGGGGTGAAAACGGAGTGTTACGTCCCCACTAAGGTCTAGGGGACAATAACATACAACCAATACAAAATGAGGGAGTCAGCGTAACAGTTTACAAAAGGTTTATTTTGTAAACCCAGAACCGAACAGACATATAACTGAAACCTTAGTTGGTGAGGAGGAGGAGGAGGAGGAGGAGGAGGAGTCAAAGGATTGCGCCAAACAAAAGAAACAAGCATAACAAAACCAGGCCTATCTCTACATCTATCCTTTGAAACCAAAACTCAAACAAAAACCCTCACTAACTAAACTACGAAGAAGTTGACAAAACAATATACAGGGGTGGCAACAATCCGCTAACCTAGTGTGTCTAAACATTAGTTAGCTACGTGGTGAGAAATGTACAGGGTACCTCAGACTTACCTAACTCCTCCACCTCTCAACACACACACTTTCAAAAAGGTCAGACAATACCAGGAGCATGAGTTGCTAAACACTGCAGTCAATTGCAGGTTCCTCAATCAGCAACAGGCCCAGAGTGAGAGAGCGAGAAGACTTCCTGGGTGCCTCCTTTATGGTCGGCCCTGGCTGCTGATAGGCCAGCTGAGGGGGAGAGGATCCAATCAGCCATCAGCCATCAGACTCAGGTGCACAGGCAGATACCGATCAGCTGCTGATTAGCTGTGCAGAAGACATAAGAGAGAAACACAGGAGGGAAGGAAAACCACACAAGTACAGCCTGCCTGGCACGTAACACCCCCACACATATAAATCCAAACAGTATGTTTGGACCTGACAATGAACATTTTCTATTTACATAGCACGAGATAGTGCATCGGCATGAACATTATCGGACCCCTTTTTATGGCTTATGTCAAGGTTGTAGTTCTGGACAATCAATGACCAACGCATAAGGCGTTGATTGTGGTTGTACATCCTTGAAAGAAAAACCAGCGGATTGTGATCAGTGTATACCTTAATAGGTTTTACACTGGAGCCCAGATACACCTCAAAGTGCTGCAAGGCAAACAATAGAGCTAAAGCTTATTTTTCAATAGTAGAGTACTTCAACTGATGTTTGTTGAACTTTCGGGAGAAGTAGCTCACGGGGTGATCGATAGCCTGTGCATCTTCTTGTAGAAGAACAGCCCCTGTCCCAACTCCACTGGCATCGACCTCGAGCTTGAATGGCTTTGAAAAGTCTGGTGCAGAAAGGACAGGAGTACAACACAGAATACCTTTTAGGCTCTCAAATGACTGTTGACACTCACCGGACCAAACGAAAGGCTTTGAGGGACTGGTTAACGTAGTGAGTGGGGCCGCCACCGATGAGAAGTTTCTGCAGAAACGGCGATAGTACCCTGCCATTCCTAGGAAGCGGCGAAGTTCCCTCCTGGTGGATGGCACTGGGAGGGAGGCAATTGCCCTGATCTTTGCATCAGCAGGGCACACCTGCCCCCGACCAACCTGCTGACCAAGGTAGAGAACGGTACCTTTTCCAAACTCACATTTGGCAAGGTTAAGCGTTAGGGATGCGGCCGACAAGCATTTAAAAACTTCTCTTAAGGTAGCTAACTAATGTTTAGACACACTAGGTTAGCGGATTGTTGCCACCCCTGTATATTGTTTTGTCAACTTCTTTGTAGTTTAGTTAGT